CGCCGACAAAGCGTTCATCCACTCTCCTACAACGGCGTGCTGTCTCGCGAGCAGGAGCGCGACAATGCGACCGGGCAAAGGAACGGGAGAGAGACAATGGATAAAAGCGAGCCAACCGGTAAGGTAGCGTGATACGGAGCAAGAAGGAAGAGAAGCGGAAAGAGAAAGCTTGAGCAATGCCGGACGAATGGTGCGCCACGGCGCGATGGGGGAAGGGCGAAAAACACTGGGAGACCCGAGAAACATATGGTGCGACCGACGAAGAGGCGCGTCCGTGTTAGAGGGAGACGGAACGGGCAGAAAAAGAGGGGTAGCGAGCAAAGAGAACGAGAAAGCGCGGCGTGCGCAACGGAGAAAGAGGAAAATAGGAAACAGAGATGGGTCGCGAGCGAGCGAGAACGAGATAGAGGAAAGGAGGGAAGCAAGGATAGAGGAAGAGGGGAACAGATCCGAAGATCCGTTCCACGATCTGGTGCTGTCGCGCTCGCTTTAGCATGGCACTGCCACTCCCTTCAGCCGGCCACACCAGCTTTGCTATTAATAAATAATGCTCCGTGATCCGCATTACAACTAAAGCGGCTCGTTTCGCTCGCCGGCTCTTTATGCCCGATACCTTGAACGCGTGGATGCCCGTGGCCTCTTCCGTATCACGTACGATCGACGATCTTTTTCGAGCGAAACGCTGAATGGACCGACTTACGGTTCGACGAAGTTCAGACGACTTTGAAGAACCTTGTGCTTCCGAGTCAGGCGGAGTACGATTTAGAACATTAGACGCAGCCACGCGCGAAGCCATTCGGCTTCTGCCGCTGTGCACGTTTTAATATGTATTTTATAAAACTTGTTCATGGAATTTATATTGTTTATACGTAAACTTTTATGCACCACAAATTAATTCTTTTTGGATTTTCTTATAATTACTTTTTTAAGACTAATGTATATCAAATTTTGATTTTTACTGTGAAGTTCCTTTGCTTCAATACGTAGGGGAATGGATAATGAAAAAACGGATTCTGAACGAAAAGAATTCCTGCTATTCCATTGTCGATAATATATACCGATTAAATTCTGACTTTTCAGCGGTCGGTAATGTGTATCAACTGCTGTGTCATTTGAATTCTGTTAAAGGACTGTACCATTTGTTGGTTCTTCAGATTTAAAAGTTTCAGAATTTAACATTTCAGAAAAAACCTTGAGAATTGGAGAATCTTTAGATTTATTAATTAATTTGTTTAAGCTTTTGAAAATTTGGTTATTTATAGATTTGAAAGTTTGTAAATTTGAAGAGCAGATATTTGGAACCATAGGAAATCAGAAATTTTTAAAATAAGAAAACTTGTAAGTCTTGAAATTTGTATTTCATCTTTTAAAATCAGAAGCAAATAGTAAAAACTATAATCTTATACGCTTCCTTAGTTAAAAGAATCTTATATTGCACCAAAGTGTACTTAACTGATTTTAATTATGAATTTCATTTCTGTGTTTGAAAATTGGATAAAAACTAACATACTTTTAACAAGAAACGTCAACTTACAAAAAATTCTATACAATACTTAATTTATCTCTATTCTTTATATTCACATTTATATTTGAATAATCACGAATTCCTTTTAAGAATAATATTTTAATTTCCAAATCATTTCATACATACCTGAAATTATATGTTACAAAAACTATGTATATATTTGTAATTCTCATTCTCTTACAAATATCAATGATGTATGTTAATATAGTCACGAAAATATAAAAAAAAGCGTCACTTAATGATAACATAACAACATGAGATGAAAAACATTGGAAGACTAATATTTTTTTATTGATTTTCGTATAAGCGCCAATCTTTGTTTGTGTGCTTCTGTAACTGTTGCTCGCTTGTATGGCCGTACCTCATCTGTACCAAAACCAGGGATCCACATATTCCAATTTCTTTCTAAAAAACATACATAACAAAACCTTATATAAAATTTGACTTATGGATTAATTATTATAGTAAATTAATTTGATTAAATATATTATATATAAAAAAAATATTCATTTTGCTATTTAGTTTTAAATTATTTACCTAAATGTAATTGCACATCTTTCACTTCTACAGTGTTAGCATGACGATGCTTAGCTAATAAACATGCTGCATTTACAGTTGTTTCTACAAAATCATCTGCCAGTTGTAAAAGCATTTCTTCGACTTCTTCATCTAGCTGTTCAGTAGGGTCTACTTCTTTTACAAGATCTTGCAATCGTGTTTTAGTTAGAAACTAGAATCAAAATAATAAAAGATTAAATAAGTAGGAAAGTTTATAAGTATTATGGTTTTATGACCTTATAATAATTTGTTGAAATTTTGGTTTTGTATTAATCTAACATTATAACTTCATAGAAAAACAATGTATATATAAATGAAAAATTAAAATAAATACCTGAGGAAAATCATTAAAAGAACTTTGGTGTTGTTGTGGTTGTTGTTGCTGCTGTGTGGATGGTTGTACAGATTGTTTTGGTGATTGAGATACAAACTGTGCCTGCTGAGACTGATTCTGAGGCTGCAATATCTGTACCACTGTATTACCACCCTGTATATTAGGAACATTAGACGATGCCTGAGTATTTGGCCCTATTGATTGTAAACTGCCAAGTACAGGTGTTATGTCCGATCCTGTATTGGTAGTTTGTACAAGAGCTGTTTGTTGTGACATTTTTTAATCCTTTTATTTGTTATGTATTTTCCTTATTATTGTTAAGTAAATTCAAATAGTCGTAACTTATAAAACATAGCTATCTGTTATATCTATTATAATCATAAAATATTTTTTAATGACATAACTCTGTTTAGATCCAATGTTGTTATGTTATAGAAATAATATCAGTTCTTAACACTCAAGATTTACGCATATAGTGTTAATCTTTCGAACGTTTTAAATCACAATATCTTGAACGTCGCACTAAATATTTGTTCATATCGTGTGTCGGTTTCCGTAACATTCAATTCAGTTCATTACTTTATTATGCACAAAGTTTGTTATCCACTACCGAGCAAAACTGGCTTCTCCTAGGGAAAATGGCGCTGTAGGGAAAAAAGCTGCGTACCAACTGTCAAATACTGTAGCGAATAGTAGAGAAACTTTTCTCTATGTTGTCATTTTCCCTAGAGAAAACATACGACGATTTCTCGTTGAACAAATAATAAATCTTATGCATGAGCGCCTTCAGGTTGTGGGCGCTGTCATCGATAGAATCAAGATGGCCATGGTGTATTATAGAAAAGAAAATTCTAAACGTTTGAGTAACAATTTTTAATGATATACAATTATTAATCTACTACGAAGAATTTACTTTAGGTTATAACTGTGTTCGTAACGTTAATTGTTCTCACAAGAGCTGAGAATATCACACAAAAAAACCGAAAACGAAAATGGCACTTTTTGAGGCGAGCTGATCTCGTGAGGAATCTCCGATGTCAACGGGGAAAATGATTTCCTTAGTTTTTTTGGCGATTTCGCCAGTGATCAAGGCGAATTGACTGATTGTAAGTTTTTTATCGTAGAGCAACTGTATTTGTTTATTACGAAAATAATGTATATTTGAACGTTGTTAAAAAACACTGTAATTTGAAATAAATTATTTGTCGCTACCTTATTATTAATTAAAACAGGTGTATATACATATTTGAATATAAAATTATTAAAAAATGAACACATAGTTAGTAATTTAATTATTACATAAAATCATTATTTTGTATAAGATATTCTGCAGTTAATTTAATTATACTGTTTATCCCATAAGAATGTATACATTAAATCTGCAAAATAGTTTATCATAATTCATCTATTTTTCTATTGTATTCATCTCTTCTAGCGATACTTCAGTAACAAGTATGACTTCTTCTTTAAATCGAAAACGAAGCTCATCTGTTAGTTTTACGAGAGCTAAGGATGATAGCGAAGATGCTACGGATGAAATCCATATATCTTTGGCACCATATATACAAACATATTTGGCACACAGTGGTCAGGGACTCGGATGTTGTGGAATTAGCCTTCCAGTACCATTTGAGCGTGCTGCCTCAAGGTCTTGGTGGAACCCTAAATTTGATTCAGAAATACTTGAAGAACAATTTAGAAGAAGTGCCTTTCCACAAATAAGATTAAGATTTCGGTACATAGTAAAATATTGTTTATTCTATTCGCATAGTAAATGTTACATTAATGTGTATCATTTTAGGTATGCCCTAACATATATCTTGCTAGTTTCTTTGTCATGGTTGACATATTTTGTTGTAATTGGAACAGAGCATAGTACTACAACATGGCCAGCTATAGCAGCAATTTTTAGTACCGTTGGAATAATGGTATCAGCAGTTTTATATCTAACGCATACCGATTATTACCAAAAGTGTGTGCTGCAAACTTCACTAGGAGTTGCATTCATACTTTGCATTTTGTCATTACTTTTCCTTACAATAGTTCCACCTTATATAGATGGCCTAACTCTAGTTGGACATTTCGCTCTATGTTCAGAAATTCTGTTGTTAATTTACACTGTGTTGCCAATGCCACTCTATGCCTGTTTGGGAATATCAACAGTTTATTCTGTTCTATTTGAATTTTTAACTGCCTATTTATATGGTACTAAAGCTGCAAGAGAGAAGTTTTTCAGTGAACTCACGTTACCAAATATTTCTACAGAGAATGATACGATAATAGACTACAGGAAATTATCAACAGCTATGTATTCTTCTTTGAGAAATTTTAATAATAGTCAATTTTCAAGTGTGATGCAAGATAACAACGAATATATAACTACAACTATGAAAACAATGTCGTATTCCCAAGATTCAAAATTGTTATCTGTTCTTGGAATGAACTTGTCTAATCAAGAACCCATGCTTGGAAAAGCATTTGGAATTCTAAATAATATAAATTCCAATGTAGTATCGACAATAGTTAATATTCATAATTCCACTGTAAATGCTTCTTCTAATGATTTAATTTCCAAAGATATAAACGATGCAACTTCGATATTGGGAGGAACTGTATTTACCCGTAAGAACGGTGAAATGTCAAATTATTTTTTAAGTAGCAACATATCTAATCAATCATTTTCGGACGACAATTATTTTTCTACAAGCCTTGGGATAAGAATTTTAATGCAAGTTTGCATTCATCTGATAGGTATACATATTTTAATAATGACTTTTGTAAGAATGCGTGGTACGTTTATGAAGGTCGGCCAATCTTTATTAGTCCGGCGTCAATTAGAAATGGAGAAACAGCTTAAAGAAAAGATGATTCACTCTGTGATGCCGCCTAAAGTTGCGGATTGGTTAATGGAAGAAAGCGAGCGTGAAAGAGAGCGCGAGGATTCTTTGAAGAAAGGATCAATACCGTCCAATAACACGGATATCCGTTCATTATTTCGACCATTTAACATGCATTCAATGGAAAATGTTAGTATTTTGTTCGCTGATATTGTTGGATTTACACGAATGAGTTCGAATAAGACTGCAGAAGAATTGGTAGGCATTTTAAATGATCTTTTCGAAAGATTCGATGATCTGTGCGAACATCATGGATGCGAGAAAATTTCTACATTGGGAGACTGTTATTATTGTGTAAGTGGATGTCCAGAGCCAAGATCTGACCATGCAAAATGTTGCATTGAAATGGGACTAGGTATATTACTTTCTGTATCACATTGTATAAACATGTGTACGAAGAATAATTTTTATGTGTTTTTATAACAGCTATGATAGAAGCTATAAAACAATTTGATATTGAAAGGAGAGAGGGTGTTAACATGAGAGTTGGAGTACATACTGGAACTGTGCTCTGTGGAATTGTAGGTACTAAACGATTCAAGTTCGATGTTTGGTCTAATGATGTTAGTTTGGCAAATAAATTAGAAAGCACAGGAAAACCAGGAAGAGTTCATTTAAGTGAGAATACATTAAGTTTTCTTGATGATCGATATATCACTGAAGATGGAGAATTAATAAATGGTATTACTATTAATATTATTATATTAAAAAATATACATTCCAGTTTTGCAGGAATTAAGATGTTTTCCTTTTCAGGTATTAAAACGTATTTCATCAAAGGTCGAAGATCAGATTTTACTAATCAATTTATAATGAATATCACATCTCCGAAAAGTATATCGCCTTTGATGCAGTCACGTCATCGTTTGGCCTCATGTAATAGTCAGTCTAAATCAAAGTATCACTATCTCCATATGGTTACTAATCCAAGTAATTATAGAATGAAAGCGAATTCTTTACCAAGTATTCTAGATTCCGAAAACGGCGATACTGATACAATGGATGAAAAGGAAACTGCAAATAAAAGTCCAACATCCGTTGCTAGTTACGGAAAAAAAAAGTTACGGAATAAACCTTGGAGATATTTACAAAGACAACGAACTACCGAAGAAATGACTCCCTTAGAAATGGAGGAAGCTAAAGCAATTATTGCTGAAAGAACAAAAACTGAATCTCATTCGTACGAAGATCGTAATGGATTTAGGCAGGTCAAAATCACGTTAAAAATATTCTTATTTTAACTATAAATCATATTATCTTGTTTGTATATAAGTCAAATTTCTTTACAGAACACATCTCAAAATGATGTTGAAATGGATCCAAATCCTGTACCTTCTAGTCCTTTATTATCTGGTCAAGAGCCACTCAGTCGTGCCTCTTCTATGTGTAGTAGAAAAGATTCTGGAATCAGAAGTAATAGCAGGCGTAGCAGTATACAGCAACAGGTATACATATTTATATTATATATTATTTGAAAAACATTTTAATTCTAAAATTTCAATGAACAGCAATATCAGCATACATCTTTTCCCCCTGCAGTTAATTTTCACATTTTAGCTGTTTATGATGAATGGTATGGCTCAAGGAGACTTATTAGCACACAGAGTGAGTGGCTATTATACGTCTAGTTCGACGTTAAACTCTGTCCAAGAGCCATCGTCCTCGGTACCGCCTTATCCGTTTCCACCAGCAGTCACGGATACCTTTGGTGCATGTTTTCATAAGTTAAGAAAACAGTCCGATTTACAGTTAATCAGGTGACTAAATTGTATAACTTTTATCATTGGTGTAGGTTAGGATCTAGGTTAGGATCAGAGTAGATCTGGTGATACGTTGATGTCATTAGTAAAATTAGGAGACTTAAAACAAAAATTTTAATTACACCAATGACCATTAAAGAAATCTTGTTTCATAAGTAACATAATTTTGTTTTTTATGGAAGGTGCGTTCAAGACAACGTCAGTTCTCAACGGTCATACTTCGTGAAGCCGCCACTATCGAGTTTGACACTTTTCTTCAAGAACAAAGAAATGGAAAAGGAGTACAGAGAGAATGCTCACAAGGTTAGCGAATGTATCAGTGGCAACCCACCCACCTTGGCTACCTCGAGATTCAACACGTACTTTGATATTTTAATATCGGCATTAGTTTACACTGCCGTTTCAGTCTCGCTTTTCTTACTTTGCGAGCCAACTTTATACTACATGATATTTTTTGTATGTGCCACCACCATCCAAATTATAGCTGTGTCGCTTTGTGTTCGTCAACTGTTGTATCCGAATATGATCCATGGGACGTTGACGCAACAGTTATTTAAGTTTTTCTTACAATGGTACCCTTGGCACATCTGCGGTGCAATCCTAGTCGGGTTACCGATCATTTCTATTCTTCTCAACTATACATGTAGCAACTTTCATAGTTTGAACAATTTCGAATATTACTACGGCTACTTGATCTTCGTCGGTCTGGTCCACTTTTGTAATTTCACGCAACTGAACTGCTGGATGAAGAATTTTCTTGTAACATTCATGGGTGTGCTATTTCTTTTTCTCATAGTGAATCAGGTATCATACAGTCAAAAAAATCTTGGTACCCAACTCGCCAATAGTTCAGTGCATTATCTACCTCCTTCAATGGGTCGTCAATTTAATGAAAGTAAAACTGCTTTCATGAGGCAACGGGAGGTAGAAATCCGATACAACGAAAGATTGTACAACTCCGAGATTTTTTTAGACATGATACTTCTGCTTCTGCTAGTTTGGTTCTTAAACCGTGAGTTCGAGATCAGTTATAGGTTAAGTTTTCACGGGAACGCGGTGGCTGCCCGCGATAAAAGTCGCGTGCAGTCTATGAAAAATCAAGCCGATTGGCTTCTGCATAATATTATACCAAAATACGTAGCCGACCAGTTGAAGACCACCGCCAAGTATTCGCAGAATCACAAGGCTGTGGGCATTATATTTGCAAGTATAGTAAATTTCAACGAGCTCTACGACGAGTCTTATCTAGGAGGTAAAGAATATCTGCGTGTGCTGAACGAGTTAATCGGCGACTTCGACGAACTGCTAGAAAAACCAGAATTCTCGAACGTGGAGAAGATCAAAACGATCGGTAGCACCTTTATGGCAGCGAGTGGTTTGAACCCACAAGTCAGACAACAAGGTGAACACGAGTATACGCATCTTTTTCAATTGATAGACTTTGCTATGGCGATGCACAAGGTAATAAATGACTTCAACCGAGATTTGTTAGGCTTTAAATTGATCTTGAGAATCGGCTTTAATTATGGAGACGTTACCGCTGGCGTGATTGGAGCTACGAAGTTGTACTATGATATTTGGGGCGACGCTGTAAATATAGCATCCAGAATGGATTCGACCGGAGTCGCTGGAAGAATACAAGTGGCCAAGAATACTTTGGATGTTCTCGCAGAACGATACGAGTTTGAACCACGTGGCCAAGTTTATGTTAAAGGGAAAGATAATATGGACGTGTTTCTATTAATAGGAAAGAAGAGCGATGATACAACGATAAGCACTTGAACATTTTTAATGCGCATTGGCGTAACTAGGACTTCTAGAATGGGCTGGCCTCCAGATTTATTCCTAGGGTCAATGACGCAAATTAGATTTTGGAAATTTAAGAACTGTTTGGAAATTTGAAACTGTGTGCTATTATTCAGTTACGCCAACGCCTAAAGTCAATGAAGTCGAATGAACTGTTAATGGGATTATTTTGCACGTTACACTTAACATCGAGCATATGATCTTTTCCGGATCAGGCTTCTAGCGATCTCGCAAGAATTGTATAAATTTGCGGTAGGTATACCGTCGGCGTAACACGTGAACATAATACGTACCTTACTCTTCGATTGCTCGCTCATTAAAGATATTTATTCTTAATGAAATATTCACTGTATTTTTTTACGTAATTTAAGGGTATCAGAGACCTACCAAAACCTACCTTTATAAAAAGTACAAAATCGAATCAATTTTAAAATAATGAAATTTCTCCTGATATTGTTATGAAGAAAAAAAGATTTGTGCTAAACGTATATCGAGATAAATAGTACGCATCATTAATGTTTGTATGCTTATTGAATGAATGAACGAGTGAACGTGTAAATGACCGGCTCTGGTTGTCAACAGTTCCTAGTATAAAAGTGCGACTTATCTGATAACTGCTAGTTATCATATATGTAAAAAGCTTTCAGATAATTTCCGAATCATCGTATGAGATTATATGATCTTTTTGTGGTAGTCAAAATTCTAATTGGATATAAAAATATGTCAGGTCACTCTCAAAGTATCAACATTTTAAGATACCTCGAATCTCAAACTGTTCTTTAAGACTTGTTCAGTTATGGTGGAGTCTTAAATCTATCGCTGTTGTAATTACATTTATTCAGTGTGTATCATTATTCGCACTATATAGGGAATATTATGCGGAGGAAAACCTGTTTTAAGGTTACTATAAATCTCGCAAATATAGTACATTGGAATCTCGCTATATGACCGATGGCACTAAAATTGTGAAATGAGCCATATAAAGAATCTGAAAGTTATTAATTTGAATATGTCAGAGTTTGTGAATTTAAAAAATTAAAACTACATTCCTGAATTTGAATCTCACTATATGACCTTCGATGGCACTATAGGAGTGAATAAAAATTGTGAAATGAGCCTTATCAATTGAACTCGAAAGTTATCAATTTGAATATGTCAGTTTGTAAATTGAAAAAATTAAACTACATTCCTGAATTTGAAAAACGAGCCATAAAACGAGACTGCAGTGTACTCTATAATTCCATGCCAAGTTTTGCATTCTGTTTTAGTTGGACGATGATAGAAATTACTTAACATTATTTCAAGATTAATTGCATAAACTATCGCATCAATAATAAAACTGTATACTTCATAAATTACCATTCCGTCATTTTTAATCTAACGTTTATCTTTTTCTTTGTTAATTATCGGTTACAGGATAATACAAAACGGCTATAAAAATTGTGAAATATTTTTCTCAACATTTTACTGGAATTGTACTTCAAACAGTTTGTATATAGAGATTCAATACATAAATCTCTTTCAATCTTTCATGTTTGTATGCGCATTAGACTTGTACAAAAATTACAAAAGGTCTCTTGAATTATAGCATTTTCTTATCCGTACTTATCTCCGAATGGATCAGTGAATTTTGTATAAAAGTAGATTTATAAATTTGTATATGTAAATGGAGTATTGAACAAAGCATTTCGTTATTACTTTCAGACTTTTTTGACTGATAATAAAATTTGTAGTTGAAACATAATTGATTATATTTAACAAGACATAATTTCGTGGAATGTTATCGTTTCAACGTATGTATACCAAACAAGAAATTTATCATATTTAAAATTTCACAGTCTTTATCACATTTTATTCTCTTTTTGTCTTTAACGATATCTCATTGTATAACTTTTAAATTCGATTTGTGATGATTGTCTTCTATTATCGATCATTAACTAATTCAAAGTACCGTTAATTATGTGATGTGTAATGGTAATCATGTAACATAGTAATCTGATTTCTCATGCGATAGCTGCAATGCTGTATTATTCACAACAATGAAACATAATCGAAGCAACTGAAAATAGTAACAATAAAACATGGAAATGTTATGTAGTTCGATTAATAACTAATATTGAATAAGATCCACGTAACAAGCATTTGAAATGCATCTTCGTCAATTTTAAACGATAAATAAAAAGTTGCATTTAATACGGCTGTAGCGCATATTAAATAAAACTTGTTAAACGAAGAAAGTTTGTAACAGTTAAAAATAGAAAAAAAAAGAAATACCTAAATAAACTTTAGTACAATAAAACAATGATCGGTGTGAAACATATAACGTATAAACGCTTGCGAATGTACTAAGAAACGTACGCACTTTCTTGTTGTTTAAAAACAATTATAATCGATTCGAATACAAACTTTTATACGAAATAGTAAAATTGATTTTTTATAAATCAACAACCGTTGTATTGTACATTAGCGAAATGTTTACAAAAATCTGTACTACACATCGTGTGATCGTTGAAAACCATGCTCTGCTTTACATTGTTACAAGAGATTTTATGTAAATCCAAAGGAATAATAATAAATGCGTGAGACTTAATATACAATTGTTCGGGAAAACATACTTAATATCCATTTAAAATTTGTCTTATTACATGTGTTGCATGTTCTTTAGCGACGAATGTCTTATGTTACACGTGCGTAATTGTACGCACCATACACACACATTACATACATACATACACACGCGTGTGCGTGTACACTCTGCATACTCACAAGACAAAATGTTTTCTGTATAGGTCGAAGTCCCGGGTCAAAAATAGGAGGGCTTCACAAATAACACTGGTTTAATTTCTTTTTTTACACATTATTCACAGTTGACGTTAAATGCGTGCGTAAGCGTACTTTCATTTCAATTTTTATCCCTTTATTTCTAACAGATGCGTCGATACTCGCATCACCAAATTGTGTACACGTGTTTAACTTCACAAATAATTTAAAAATGAAAAGAAAATGCTCGAATAGACTTATTCTATGAAGTCCTCTTATTTTAGTTACAGGATCCCTTCATGCAGATAGTTTAATCTTTCTTTCTTCTTAATAGGAAATCGCTTTTACGATGATTTATTACTATTTATCAGTTTAACCCACGTGCACGCAATATTGTCATCTAGATGTAGTTTCTGCTACGTAGACCCAGCAAATAAAGCTGCAAAACCACTATCAGTCGCATTTTCGGATATTTCATCCACGCGTACAGCCTGCTGTTTCCCAAAAACTTCTATTCGTGGCAAATTGTCTATTTTAACTTCTTTACGAAATAACTGGCCAACACTACGTCCAATAAGCTGTACAATAAACGCAGTATAAATTTAAATAAACCTTAGTTTATTATACAATACTATACACTATTTATTATACAATTATTTATAAAAAATACTTACTTGGTTCGTGATCTTCTTAAATAGATCTTTCTTTCCCTTTTCAACTTTATTTCCTTTGGTACTAATCACCGACATTTTTTCGTCGAAACGTTGTAGGTCTGTAGGATTAACACCAGGAATTTGTTGCATCACTTCGATAATATTAGGGAACTTAGGTCGTAGGCATTCATAAACTTGTGCGCCCAACGTTATCAAGGAACCTTGATTAGCTTCGTGTTGTCCATGAAGTTGTAGACCTTGAAGAATAGCTACCATAATGTGAGCAGCCATAGCAGGTGTTAAACTGCCATCAGCTGCTAATGCTCGTACTACTGGCCCAGTTAACATTGTAGCTTTTAAACTTGCATTGGAATCATTCCAAGCCAAAGCCCTAAATAAATCAAAAGAATTATGTTGCAGCTGTATTCTACTTCAATAGTAAATCAGATTGAAATCATTTATTACCCTAAAACGCACAGGACCACACTGTGACACGTCGATGGATGTCGAAGGACAACAGCTCCCAATTCGCTAACAACTTCAGCGACTATACTGTTTCCTCGTGATGACGGAGGATCAATGGCCATACCTCCGCTATCCTGTTCCATAGTATCAGGAGGTGTTGCATCGCTAGCAGCACCGCCGACAAGGGCTACTTTTAACACATCTACAAAATCTCTTGTCAGATTTCGATTTAACATGTCAGCGATAACTTCTTGCGTATCAGTATTTTCCTCGTCCAAACCACCAGATTCATAGAGGTGTGCAATGTACTGCCACTTGGTACTTAATCTATGGCACACTGTGAAAGATAATTGAACAGTTAATGAACAGAAGAGATATAAGAATAAACGTAAGATAGGAGTATCTTACTATGCGTAGAAACATGAGCCAATACAGGTACAAGAACACTTTCATAAAATGCAGGTGGACAAGAATATATAAATGGCTTCATGAAAACACGTATAATTGGTCGTAATCTATAGTCAGGAATCATCTGAAATAAACAAACAGAATCTGTTTTAAGGAATAGACAAAAATCTTTTCTCCATTTTTGATTTAGCAATATACCGCGTTCAGTTGAAATAAAGAATGAAACACAAAATTACCTCCATGTTAGAGAAAACCGAATTGATAAGCGCTGGTGCTAAACCGGGTAATTGATAGAAATCTCTTCCAATCATATGGCATCCACTACCCAGCATATGATAGCAGAGGTCGTGAATAGTAGTGAGAAACGACTGCATTCGAGCTAAAGCGGTAAAAGAAGATTGATCCGGTTCAGAAGTGTTATCACTTGCTGTATTTAAACCTAAAAGATTTGCTTTCTCCACTTCCAATAATTCATGAGCATTTTTATAGCCCTAGAGGAAAATAGAGTTAATAGTTGATATTCCTTAAATGTTAAATGAGAAAGATATGAATGTTTCTGTTACCTCGGACAAGGCTGATAAAGCAGAAGGAGTGAAGAGAGCATTCATGGTTCTGAGCAACGCAAAAAGTGTGGGCAGTACTGGGATCACATGTGGTGTAGCAGGATTTCTGTACACTGGATTTCCACTTTCACTAAGTGCAGCAACAAAACTGCCTCTTGCAGCACGATCTGGATCATCTGGTATACTACACCGCTTCACAACACACAATATCGTACAAATGCAAATCATTAAGTCACTTCGATTTTGACCCGCTGGATCATCCGTTATGTTTTCAGCTGGAGGTCGATCTAATCCTACAAATCTCATTAATTCTAATGGTCCTTTGAACGATTCAGATCCAAGTGTAATAAATTTTGCTGATGCATCACCAATTATCTCAGCAACAAATCTAGTTTGTCTTTCATAATCACAAAAATGATTTGATATCAGTAAAAGTGCTTCATAAAGTAAAGTTGTCTCCATCTTGGATAATGGGCTAGGTTCTCTTGCCAGGCCACGAACCATTGTATGTATTTGCTCGAAAACTGGGAGGAGTAACAGTGGATATTTTAAACTGATCTTGACCATCAAACTGGCTGCATGTCGCCTCACATTCTTTGCTGCTCTAGATCGAGTACCCTTTGTTTCACCAGGCGCTTCGAATACCAGGGCAGCAAAGATCTTCTCCAAAACTCTGGGCAAGATAGAAACTCCTGGCATAGTTATTGAACCAGTTGACATCGATAAAAACACAAACAGAGCACTGATGCAAGAAAGTAGTGCTGATAATAGCCAAGGATCTTGTGGGGAATAACCAAGGCATAGCTCCAACAATTGAAGGCCAGTTTGTACGCTTGGTCGTTCATTGATTAACAGAATTCTAGATACCACAGAATCCAAAGCTTGTGCAAGAGCTTCCCATTCAAGGTACTGTGGATCATTTTGGTCACTTTGATATCGAAGATCCGCCATTCCCTTTGTTATTTTAGCTGTTAACCATTGCTGTACATAGGTAAATGTTACTAAAGGCGCTATCATTGTTGCCTGTCTAAAGCCTTCTAATAAATCGGTTCTAAATCGATGAAGAAAAACATTGAACTCTTCTACCGAATCGTAATCTGCGAGACAATATGCACTCATTCCATTACTTTGCCTACTTTGTGGATACGCTATTTTTATTAATTTTGGCGCCGTATTTTCTACATATTTCGGTACATAAGTTAATAATAACGGATCTTGTTTTATCTGTTCGTGTTTAAACAACATTATCCAAATAGCGTTTGCCATGTGAGTTAATGTTAAACTTGAATACATGGTAAAAGTTAGTACGGTATCTAAAAATATGTTGAAATGCGTAGGACGAATGCTGGAACTATCATCTTTACCCCAAAGTGTACATAGTTGAGTTGCCATACCAGTTAACACCTAAATTTAAAATTAATATTAGTTACGTATTATAACTGTTAAAAATTAAAATGAAATTTGTACAAAGATTGTACACATAGATTTTTTGTCTTAATACTTTTTAATTGTATCTAAAAATGTTTTCATTTACCTGTGTAAGCTTCTTTAAAAACAAATAATGATTTTCATGAATCTCATTTGTTCCAGTAACAGGTGGTGCCATAGTTGCTGCTGTATAAATATATCTTAAAGCATCTTCAGAAAATAAAATCATTAGCTGTTTTCTGTCTTCAGCTTTCCCTTTACGATTTACAATTTGTAATAAGCATTCAGCAGCTGAACACTGAAATATTGGATCTCCTAACAGAAGACATAATATCTGAAGTAATCTACCATCCTCTGCCATAACATGAGTGATCGAGATCCATTCCACAAATCCAGTTAACGTAGACAATACAACCTTTTAATCCAGAATAAGTTTAAAATAATTTTAGAACTTTAATCAAGTATTTTATTCTTTAAAATCTTTGTATCAATTTACCTGTACAACTTTACTATGCGCTGCTGCTTCAGAAGTACAACCTAAACTATTCTTCTTTTGAAACTCAGAAAAATGTTGTTCCATTAATCTTAAAAAGAAACTAAAAATCTCAGCCATGTTGGTGTTAAGTGCTTGGTATATATCTTTCCTTCTTTGATTGGATTCTAATGTTTGTAAAAGTGCAACATCCTCTACCAGTCTTAAAAATACTAGAAGAACCAACTCCGTTTGACTTTCACCCCTTGTACATGCCTGACTAAGCTCTGCGAGCAGTGTAGGCCATTGTTGTGGCCACTCTCGTTTTATCATTTCCACTACAACACGAGAAAGTGCATCTTTAATATGAGCTTCCTCTTGTAATAATGGTTCTGTGCCTTCTTGAAGTAGTTTCATTGCATTCTCCTTTATAAATATTTTTTCTGACTGTGATATTTGTGTCCATCGATATTTAATACAATGTTCCATTAATTGTAACCCAAAATGACGAACCACAGGACTTCTGTTTGGAGCTTTTTGTGCTAAATATAATCCACATTGTGCACAGAGAGGAGATGATTCTTTAAATCGTTCACAAGCATTATATACTTCTAAACGTTGCTGCTGTGGAACATTTGGTGACATCATCACTTCTACCACTTGAGCAAGTTCTGCTGATATTTGGGCAACATTGCCCACCCCGAACTCCATTCCGACTTACTTTGCTGTAATTAAAAATAATAACTGATTAGAATCTTCTATAACAATTTTAATATGAATTATATTATACAGATAAAATAGTTAATTTTCTGTGTAAGAATCTTAAATTTCTTTTTATTAGAACTAGTGTAATAATATTATTGTTAAATATATTAGATTTATATTTTAATTTGAAATAATAATACATTACCTATATGTACAAAAAGCAACTCGTGGAAAATATTAAAGTTCCATATGTTTTACGAAAATTTATATAAATTACTATAATTCGTAATAAATTTAAATGATGTAAAATCGCGTAATTACAGTGCAAGAAAAACACGAGGCCAGGCAACTTGTAAAGTATGCTTAACATGCCCTGCTAAGCATGCCTTGACAGAAGGCACTTACCTCGTAACGTGATCGTAGATCGAGATGGATCGAAGATACACGTTTGGCAAAATATCTGCCAATATGGTTTGTCAATTCATATCTAATAGTCTCGTAAGGAGTTAAAAACTCGCGGCGTGTACATACAAGCAGTGATCTTATATTTAGTCAAAGAAGTTCGATTCTGGGAGATATGCGGCACGTTGAACGATTACATATAGCATACGTAAAGTATGTACTGCCCTCTACATCGTTTAAATTTAATCTAACCTCACCTTACAGTGCATACATGTTTTTTATGTTTATATGAATTGCAATAGCAGGTGTATATAATGTATAATTATTCGTAACAGTTGTATTATAGGTAAAATTTACAAATTGGGGAAAGATTTTAATATTTGTACCTTTCATAAAAGTTTAGTGAAAATTGTTTTAGTTAAATTTTGGGACTAGTTTTCTTTGTAGAAGTTTAGAGGTTATGCCGGTGATCTTTTGTCGGTCGTGACACAAGCACACGTCTTGTATCGAAAACGACAATACCAATACACAATGGACGAAGCTCTGACTGTACCACCCACATTTCAGTTACATTTTTCGAAGCAAATATATTGTGTTGAATTATCACCATACGAATGGTCTCAACATTTAATTTGCGTCGCTCTAGCTGAAGAAATAGTTATCGGTACTGTTAAATTTCAGGTAAAGTATTTTAATTCTCATGTTTGTATACATGTGCACTGAACTCCACAAACTTCATGTAATACAATTAAATTGCACTTTGTAAATTGAACTTTTGAAAACTGTTTGTATAGGAAAAAATAAAAATGAAATACTGTAATATAGTCATTTTTATAGCACCCAAAAAAACATAAACGTACATATTTTTTATGTAACTTTAGTTTGGTAAAAATTTAGAATCAATATGAATTAATGACACAATAAACAAAATTGTAAAAATAGATTACTCATTTATGCTAAGGATGAAGATGAGGCTGTAGAAGACATTGCTTACAGTCATTTAAGAACATTTCGACATGACAGCAGACCACATGCTATTGCTTGGAGTCCTGAAACCTCCTTGAGTGTAGTACCAAAAGTTTTAATGTTCTGTGTTGCTGCGGCAGATTTTAAAATAAGATTATATAGCAGTGATATGAATTATGATACTTTGTGCGAGGTAAGAAAATCATTGATTTAACATGCTTGAAGTCCTTTGATCTATACATAGATTAGCATACTTCTTACCCATATGTACTTTAACCCATGTATAAATTATAATCCTTATGATCTAAATACATAACATTTTTATGGGTATATAAGTGAGAAGTACATTTTTGACTTAGATTATGAAAATGTTAAAAATTTTCAAAATAATTACTTACAACAATTTTTTTTTAATTGAAGATGGATGGACATAAGGATTATATAAATTCAATTTGTTATGAAACCGAAGGTGAAATATTAGCTTCTGTGTCTGATGATCACACATGTAAGCTTTGGGCAGTAAAAGAAGATGAAAAATGTATTGCTACGTTTTATCTGACATCTCCTGGAATGAGTGTGTGTTTCCATCCAGAAAAGTCTGGCAAGTTTCTTGTAGGAGAAAAGAAGGGTTTAATTCATATGTATGATATAAGAAGTCAACAAGCAATTATGTCTTTAGATACAGATATTGTTCCTTTAATGTCAATTGACTGGGGATCTAATTTATTAAAAGTAGCAGCTGTGGTAGCTGGAAAGTTGGTTCTGTGGGATATGTCTAAACCAAGGTAGTGTAAATGATAAACAATTAATTGATAAATAATTATTCAATTTCGGTTTAATAAAAGTATTTTTATTTTCAGTCCACCTTTAGAATCAAAACCTTTACATATTGAAGGAGGATTAATAGTCAAATTTTCACCTACTTATGAATATTTTGCAGCAACTATAGGCAAACCAGATAATTTATTAAAAGTTACAAATATAAAAACTGAACAAGAAATACTTTGTGGGCAAGTGAAACTAATAGGTGGAATAAGTTGGCATTATAAGCTGCCATATGTTTGTGCAACAAGCGATACGGAAATTCGTTTTTGGAAAATATTGAATTAAAATCAATCATAATACATCTGCATTAAGGATATCATTATTTTTACTTGAATAAAAAATATTTTTTAATAAACATAGACTTTTATAAATACAAATCATGTCCCCTTAATTTATTGATATTAACATACTGTAAATCAGATCTCTAAGTAGAATACAATGTTACAAAGTATATAAATTTTATATTGGAAGTATGTATATTTTAATCAGTAGTTTATTCTGGTAAAAAATAAATTTGAAATTTGTAAAAACATAAAAAAAATAACAATTTTATTGTAAACGTAATGACTATTTAATATTTCACTTATAAGCTAGCATTTTTCCATAACATAGAAAGAATTTCAAAAAATTGATTTTTAATAGCTTCATCTACTAACTTGCTGCATAATTCATTTGCTTTACTGTAAGTCATAACGGGATTTGGTACATAAACTAAATCATTTAAAACTTGATCTTTTTCGATTTTCAGTGTACTTAATTCTTCTATCAGAGATTTAGTGTCTTGATTATCTTTATCTTCATCTGACGCTTTATCTAGTAAATATATAAATAATAATATATGAAAGCTTTGTATATAAATAATATATGGAAATTTTTACATGTAACTCACCTAAAATTGAAGTTATTTGATTTTCTAGTTTATTAATTTCACTTTTCATTGTCCAGTGCTTCATCGTTTGTTTATTTAATGCATCATCAAGTAAGTTTTCTATCAAATTAATATAAGGTTGTGCTTTATCGCTAGGAACTTCGTTTTCTAAATTGTATACAAGCCAATTTAAAACAGCATAACATAAATAAGCTCGCAAACTAGTAGATACAGGATAATCAGTTTTTGCATAAATACTTTCTTCTTCCATTAAATTTTTAATATCTAACTTAATAACAATTTTAATTAAGAAAGTATACTGATTTTCACAAGTTTTCCGATTCAATGTTTCATACTGTGTAACGGTATGTAATCCAGTAACAATATGTTTTAATTTTTGTTTCTTTTCAGTAGAACTTATTGCAAGTGCGAATTCATGACTAACTGTCAACCACAACTGAAATTAGAAATTGTTAAATAATGATTCATTATTTTCTAATCATCAGAAAACTAGTTGTTTGAAAGAAACATTATTTTAGACCATTACCATTTGTTCACTTGTCAAAGTAGTAAGGGGACGGTTTTGGCATAAGTCGGTATAATAACAACTACAATCTCCGCAAATATTTTCTAAACTTTGTAATAATCCATAGTTTGAATTTCCATCTATCCATGTTTGAACCATATCAAAATTCAAATCTTCCTTAATTATTTGTTCAAGCTTTTCAAGAGTTATTAAATGCACTTCCTCATACTAAACGTATTCAAGGTTTAAGAGGTATTAAATGTTTGAAATAAACGTAGAGAAAAATATGAAATATATATGAGAAATATACCTTGAGATATGGAAATTTTGAAATTATATTCCGAGCTGCATCATATTCTGAATTTTCCAAAGCTATGATTAATGCCTGTTTCGCGATAGACTTGCTTAATGTATCATCATTGCATACAAGTGCAATTTCAGCTGCAGTTATTAACGTAGCTGGATCTTTACGTCGTGTAAGATATTTTGTTACTTCAGAAAAGTCTCCTAATTTGGCATAACTAACAGGAAAATTTTAAAATTATTTTCAGTATCTAATTTTATTATTTTTTTTTATGATTTTCATAATTTTTACTTACATGAAAGCTGCTTCTTCGAACTGACCTACATTAACATTGTATTTTGCCCAGTTCTGCAACACATTTGTTAAAATTGGATCATCTGGTTCAAGTTTACATCTTGCAAGAGCATACGCTTCTTTGTATAAATTTGCATCCTGAAATACTTCAATAGCTTTATACGTTTTATGTATACAAAGTAAATACGATACTGCTTTATGAGGATTGCCTTGAGTTACTAATTGATACGCATATAATTCGCACATTTCCCTCCAAGTTCTACAATGTATTAATAAGTTAATTTTCTAATGACCTTGTCTTTATTTTTTGTAGTGAAGGAATAAGTACATACTTCATTGAAAGACTAGCTGAAAGTGAAACGTGAAAGTCACTGAGACGTTTTTCTTTAGCAGCTTCTTCTAAATTTTGCTTAAGATTATCAGACCACATATCCATTTGCGTGACTAGATCATATTTGCCTTTTTCGGTATGGTCATGTTCTGTGCATTCACAAAAAATAATGTAATAGATATAGTAATCAATTTAACAATATCATATTAATTAATAACTTACTCTCATTAGTTAAAAATTGTACAAAATCGTCATGCTTTGAAAATAATAATGGTATTATATAACAGGAATCATCTTTCAGACTTCCTTCGATACTTGGATTCTCCTCACTTTTTATAGTTTTTACAACATTCAAAAGCGTATCAAGCACAAGCGTTTTATTATTCGTTATATTTATGTTTTTCGTAAAATATGTCGTTCGTTCAGATTTCTTTTTCTTTGCTTCTTTTACCGGTACGGTCTTTGATTCTAAAAGTAACAAGTGATAATAAGTATTCATACTACGGAAATTATATTTTAAAATTGTACTTATGAATAGAGATATACTTTGTGTAGTTTGAGAAACATCCGAACATTCTAATGGCGTGTTAGTTAAATTTGTTATATTATTTTTAACTGAAGTATCTGTAACTTTATTTGCTTTGATTTGTTTCTTTTCGCTTTTCTTTGACGCTTTTTGATGCGTTAGTTCTTGTGGTACATTACTATCGACTTTCCATATGCGTACTGTAAAATCTGCAGATCCTGTTATGATAAAATTAGAATTTAGAGGACTCCACATACAGCATAGCACTGGTCCACTGTGTCCTGTATAAGTAGCTATTAATTCCTGTGTTTCAACATTCCATACCTAAAAGTAATATTTTCTAAATGGACATACTTTTAATATTTATTGAGACACTTATATTATTGCTTCATATAATTTAATACCTGTGCAATTCCATCATAACTGCCTGATATTAAATGACCACTAATGTATGGACTCCATGCCAAACAAACAACATTGTGAATGTGCCCAGTTAATGTAGCTACAACTTCATTCACTTCATAAATATCACTATTTTCTTTCTCATTGTTATTTGTGGGATCTTGTAATTTTGTAAAGTGATCCATTAAATTAGTCAAATCAAAGATAACTATTGTACGCGATTCAAAAGCAGCAGCCAAATAATTTTTCAGCGGTGAAAATGTCAAATCTGTTGTAGTACTTTCAGGATGCCACACTAAACAATGTAACATTTTTGAAGAAAATTTTGCAGTGCCAAACGTTTTAAATTTGTTATCACAAAAAGAAATTAATCTGAAAAATAATAGCTATTATTTGAATAAATTCGGCGTAACATATTTTAAAACATACCCATTCTCAAATCCTACTGCCAAACAAGACAAATCTGGTTTCCAAGAAAATTCAGTACATTCCTTTTTCAATACAGATTTAGGTTCTAACAAACGGTGTTATAATTTGTAAATACAATATAACACGACTGTTAATTAATATATATGTGCGAAATAATACCTTGATTTGGCTTTTCTGCATCATAATACACAAGTTCTCCTTCTGCACAAGAATATAAAACATACTGTTTGTTATCTGGGTTTGGTCCCCAACCAATAGTATATACTATATTTCTATGATATTGTCTGTACAAAGTAGGTGGTTTGTTGGTATTTGTATTAAACATTCCAATTCGACCTTCTTCAGTTGCATACGCTAACAAATTTTCTTTTTCAGGATGCCATGATATCTAAGGATTATATAACATTATTATATTCTAATAACATTTAATACGTTATATTTACTTTTTCTTACTGTACGAATTTTTCCTTTAATTTTCTGCCAGAAAACGGTTATGTCAAAAGTTGTATTATGTGCTTCAGATAAATTCCATACTCTTAACATTGCATCCCCAACTCCAAACGCAACGCGTGACGTATCTAATGGACATGCAGCGATGCAGTAAACGTAGCCACTTTGCGTGAAAATATCATGTACTATTTCAACATTATTTTCGTTTATGTTACAACAAACAACTCTGCGATCCTGTCCCACAGTCCAGATTGTAAACCTGTAACTCAAAAGAAGTACTTGCATTTATGACTTCACATAATTTACATACTTATTATTGATAAAAACCTCTGTTTCATTCTCCAGTTTTCTACTAGATTCTCCTGAATAATTGGCACATGTGAAATACAAAATAATCCTGTGCCATGACATGCGTGAATCAACTTGGAAATAGGTTTGTGTTTTGATATGGTTGATAAATCCCATGATATTAATTCACCCCAATGTGAATTTGTAAGTAGTAGTTTAGGTTCCATCCAATGAACCACAGTCCAATTACTTCCAGATGAAGTTGATTTAGTTCTATGATGATGCAAATCAAGAGGTGTTGCAGGCAATGAAATTGTCATTTCATAACGTCCATCTCCACCAGCTCTCCAGATAAAAACTGATCTACATGTATGATTTTTATAATTATATCAAAATTGTAATTGTAACTAATATTTAATTACAACTGTTTAAATTACCTATCCCTTCCTCCTGAAGCCAACAGTAAATCTTTATTCATATTTCCACTTATAACATTATTTTCTAAAGGGCACCATGATAGACTAACTACTTCTGTATCATGTCCTCTTAGTTTGTAAACTATTGTCCCTTTGCCTTGGAAATTAACAATATAAACTAAACCACTTTTAGATCCTACAGCCACAAGATACTGATCATGAGGACAAGAAGATAGGCACGTAGGTGCTACCTTTCCTAAAGAAATTACAGAAACTGTATCAAAGCGACTATTCCATGACAATACGCAACCATCAGAACTTGCTGAATATATAACAAATGGGTCTTTGTATGACCAATCTATACCTATTGCTTGTACTTCCTAAAACATTTCAAATAAATTAGAGTAAACTAAATACTTAAAGAATAATTTTTTTGTTTTGTCAATGAAAGAGCATGTTGCATTAAAGAACTGAGAAAAGAAAAAACAAATGTTTAAAAGCAGCATGGTCTTTATCCTATATAGCAGGATCTATATACTTACAGATTTTAAAATATAAGTATTTGCTATATTTGATGTTTCTGAATTCCATATTTTAATTGTATTGTCATCTCCTGTAGATGCTATGAAATTAGAATTTACTTCTCCAAAACGAGGAGTGAAAGCAACACAAGTCACTTTTGTTTTGTGAGCATGTTTAATAATAGAATACTGTAACGTATTGTTACTTTCCTGTCCTGTCGTTGTTGGTTTAACAACAACAATTACATTTCTGGCACCCCATGCAACAGTACCATTAAAGGAACAAGCAAAAATATTACTTAGGTACCAATTTGGTGAAGGAGGCAAAGTTGTTTCATTCATATCTGTGTGCTGAAATGATGTCAAAGTTATTTAAAAGTAATATAAGATCATATGATTCAGTCTTCTGAGGTTATCAATCAGTTGTTTAATATTGATACCAAATTTTTACACAAATTAAAAGTGTTTTTGCTATACTTTATACTCTATACATTAATTATCACGTACAATTTACGTACAATATATTTATTATTATTTTCTATGCTTTTTATTAATCAAAACTTGCGACTAAAAAATTGACAGTTTAGCGGTATCATACACGTGACAAATATGCTATCAAACTTATTTTAAAATGTACACTTTGTACGATATTCTATGAAATAAGCCTTTTAAAATCTTTTAAAATTAGGCTTGTTATTACTATAGTCATTAAAAAAGAAAAAAAACAGACATATATATTCTGTCATTGGCGGTTGGAATGATGTGTATTGCGTCTTCCGTAATAGTGTGTGTTCATTTCATATTCAAACGTTTAACAGTAAAGAAATGAATATCCAATTTATTTGAATCAAAATAATTACCTCGCGTTCGTTGTGTTAAATTAGAGATAATATTTATTTTATTTTGAGCAAACGAATATTAGTTTCTGAAAACGAAAAGTGTTTAAAAAAGATAGTGTTCTTCTAATAAACATAACCCCACTTGTGAACTTGTTTTGCAAACAAGTAGGAATTTGATATTTTACAATTGACAACAATATTTAGAGTGAGTGTTTGGTTAAAACTACTATATATTTTCACGTAAAATAATTAATTTGAATTTTACATGATGTTCTGTGAAATTTATTGATTAAATTACATCAAATGCGATATCATTTTTGAACGTTGCGTAGAGTGTAAAATATGGCGCGAAAATCGTAGGAATAAAAAATATTTGTACATACTACTTTTGTTTGTCATATTAAAGTCATGTAATTTAATTGTATGTATAACTTATAAATGTATTTCTAACTTTCGTACTCAGAACTTTGAGGACTAGAAATTACATAAAACGTGAATGTAGAAAATAGGAAATTTGGAGACTTAGTAGCTTCAAAATTTGAGAATGCAGTAGTTTGAAAATGTGTGGTTGTAGGAATCGACAGTTCAAAAGTTTGAAAATTTAGGAATGTAGGATTTTAGGAATTTGTCAATTTTCAAGTTTACATATTAGATCCCTCAAAATCAAAAACAAGTGATGGGAAGTCTCTTGTCCTACAATTGCACTAAAATATATATACAATTTATGCAAATGAATTTAGAATATATTATTAATGCTATCTCACAGATGTCACTTTTTGAAGACTGTAAACTGCTGCTGAAATATATAATAAAAGCGATACAATCAGGATGGATACATGAAAGTTGTTTATTGACATTTGTAACCACGTATTTATCAAGTTCGTACAACTTCCGTATTTATCAAAAAATGTATAAATAATTGCCTGAAGGATGGTGATGCATATTATATGAGTCATGTATATACATATTCACGATCGCGATACATCATATCGCACTCGTTCATAGTGATAAAATTGATGTGGCGTGAGACAGCTCATAATTGCATATATATTTCATCTCAGCACAGTAAAGTTTGAACAACAGTGTTACTACATATGATACTCGATATCTGTCACGAATTTACACAAGATTTGTTATTGTTTTCATTGAATAATATTTTGTTTACTTTGTATCAAATCCAGAATGAAGAATTTCATCGTCATTTTTTTATCGTTGTGGATGTTTTCGCCTGTGATTTCATTTAGTCTCAATTGGTTTAAGTTTTATCAGAAGCCTGATCCAAATGATGAACTCAACACGGTAAGTAGGATTTTCATGTTTCGATACTAATCGATATAACTCGACTTTCGAACACGGCTTTAGATACAGTATGTGTAATACGTTTGAAAAAAAAAGAATTTATTATTTATGTACGTTTTGAGTACTGCATTTATAATGACAATTGATATTGTTAATTAAAAATTAAATATGTTAAATTAACGCGTTCGAATTTTTTACATAAGACAAATATTTATCTTAAAAAATACTTTTAACGATTTATGAATATAAAATAATTTGACAGATGTGACAGTGCTATTATCATTTTTTTTAATTGGTAAAGTTACGAAATGTCGAGGTTCGATTAAATATTGATATTAACGATTGGAAATTGGTATTCTTTTTGATGTAGCTGCAAATGATAAGGAAGGAGGGTTATCCAGCGGAAGCCCATGTTGTTTTAACGGAAGATGGTTATATATTAACAATGCATCGGATTCCGGGGAAGCCTGGATCACCAGCAATCCTTTTACAGCACGGTGTATTGGGTAGCTCTGCCGATTGGGTTATACTTGGAAAAGAAAAAGCGCTTGGTACGAAAATATACAAAATGAAATAAAGAAAAATCATCTATAATTCTTATATTGATCAGAACTGCAACTTTAATTACCAAATTCAAACCAATCAGTATAAACATATATTTTTTTCCTAAAACTTTAATAAGTTTGCTAAAGGCAGTAAATTTGAAATTCATTATGAATCACTTCCTTTGTTACATAGTATACAAAGTACAATAATATAATTTTATTTCTCTCTAAAGTGATTCATATATTATTTTTAAAATTAAGTAGCAGAGTTAGATTTTATAAATAAAGCAATTCGTTTTAAATCGAAAGCGTAACAATATATATGCGATGTTGATAGCGAACGCGTTAACAGGATATACTCGGACGTACGACAAAAAAGAAAACAGATGGTTAATTAACATGTGTGTGAAAATTAAAATCTAATTAGCGGTTGGTGTAACTAATTATCGTCTACGTATATTTGTTTAAAAGATTCATTATAACGATTAAAAATTGGTGAAATATTTTACATGACTTTTAAATCAATTCTACGCATAAATCTTTATCTTCTTAAACTAAACTAAATTACAAAAATCACACAGTTAATTAACGTTAATTAAATTTGTTTAATGTTTGCGATTGCAGCTTATCTGTTAGCTGACCGTGGCTACGATGTGTGGTTTGGAAATTTTCGTGGCAACACTTATTCGAGGGCTCACGTTTCTTTGTCTATCTCGGATTTACAATTTTGGGAGTTCAGGTATTTTTTAGAAATTATTTTTACTCTAGTACCCCAAAATTTCAAATATCCCTAAATTAGAAACATCTCTAGAGCCCAAATATAACCGCTTTTCATATTCCTAGATTCTAATCGTCCGTAGACCGCAATTATCCCTAGATTTAGGCTTAGACTTATCCCTAGACTTATACAATATCATTAAATTTAAAATATCCCTAGATTAAAAATATCTATACATTGAAAATATCACTGGATACAAAATATTATTGAATTAAATTTATTTAGAATTTAAATATCCCTATATTTCTTAAATATCCCTAAATATCCCTAGACGCAAAATATTTCCAGATCACAAATACGTATATGCTCAAAATATCCGTAGACATAAAATATTACCAGATGAAGAATATCCCTAGATCTCAAACATGTACGCGCTCAAAATGTCCCTAGATGCAAAATATTACTAGACGCAAAATATCCCTAGATCACAAACACGTACATGTTCAAAATATCTCTAGACATGAAATATTACTAGATGAAGAATATCCCTAGATCTCAAACACGCTCAAAATATCCCTAGATGAAAAATATTACTAGATGCAAAATATCTGGATACCAAAGATTGCAAACATTCTTGGATTTTATATATCGCTAGCCCTATAGTTTTATCAAATTTTAAATATCTGTAGATTCCAAATGTCTACGCGCTAGAAATATCCCTAGGTACAAAATATAACTGTTCTCAATATTCCTAGACATCTATATCAGCAAATATCAATGTATCTATATTGCTAAATTTATATTTTTGTATAAAACATAAGCAAAAAATGAAAGCAATTTATACATATAATGTTTTTTAATTAATTTTTAAGAGAAAACGCGTTAGATTTAATTAATAAGTAACATTCAATTCGAACGATGTCATACATTACGCATTATAATTTTCAGAGTTCATTAGCCTTTCCTTTCATCGTTCCACTGCAATTCTGTACAAATTTCCTTTAATGAAGCTATCGGACGCAGTCGATAAAATTGCGGTTCATCACGAATAACATTCCGCGAAAACTGGGACAATTTGAACCTCGCGGCAACCGATTCTGATCTTACGTTCTTCACTAATAACAAGTTTGAGCCCAGCAAAAGTGATATCAACCTTAGTTAACTTTCATGTTGGCTTAATTGGTAACTAATTAATTCTTGCACGCGTAACTATCTAACGATTAAATGTCTGTACAGCTGGCACGAGTCAGGCATCTACGACTTGCCTGCGATGATTACTTACATAGTAAAGGTGAAGCAGTGCTTTCTGAGAGCGTATATCGGCTTCTCGATGGGCACAACGTGTTTCTACGTAATGTCTAGCGAACGACCGCAAATAGCAAGACTTGTGCAATCGATGTACAGTCTTGCCCCGGTAGGATTCATGAAACACGTACAGAGCCCTTTACGGTATTTGGCTCCGTTTGCAAACAATATTAAGGTAAATTAATCAAATGAACTTACCCGACAGAACTTCATTCCCTACTTCTGATTTCCTCATTGGAATTTTCAGCTAATGCTCTATCTATTCGGAGAAGGAGAATTCCTACCGCAGAACGCGGTCCTAAAGTTTTTAGCAAAATATATGTGTTACGTCGATTTTCTGGAAGAAAAAATTTGTGCTAATTCGATATTTGTTATCGTCGGATTCGACCAAGCGCAATTTAATTACGTGAGTACACGGAGAGATCTGTACACGTGTCTAAGATCAATATCTGATACAATTTTTAATTGCTCATGCAAATACCGAACTGTTTACAGACGCTGCTGCCTGTGATCCTGAACCATACACCAGCTGGTACATCATCTAAGACCTTGGTTCATTATGCACAAGAAATACAGTCAGGATATTTTAGACAATTCGATTATGGTAAAGAGAAGAATCTACAGATTTATAACAGTACCGTGCCTCCTAAGTATGATTTGTCGAAGATTACGACGCCAATTGTGTTATTTTGCGCGGAAAACGACTGGTTGTCTAGTCCTATTGTAAGTATTTTATCTGGTTAATTTCAGTTCATCTAGTTCATTTCAATTCACCTAGATCATTTTAGTTCATCTAGTTTTAGTTTAATTTTTAGTTCAATGAACTTAGATGTTAGGACTTCTGTTGACCTAAACTTATTTCATATTTTTTTTCAGGATGTGATGAGATTAAATGCTGAGTTACCAATTACTCCAACCATATACAAAGTGCCATTTCAGAAATTTAATCACATAGATTTCATATGGGCCAAAAATGCTCCCAAACTAGTCTACGATAAGTTACTCACTATGTTGAACGAGACTGTGTTATAGATATGTTTATACTAAATAAGCTTGCCATTAGAAATACTTAATACTTGAAAGTAGAAAGCGAACTATCTATTAAAGCGCACTGATCAAATTTTTACGTAATTTTAGTAACTTTAAAAGTAGAAGTTTAAAACATGCTCACTAATTGTACTTCAATGATGCTATCGTAACGTACTGTGATTGCTACATGAACTGCGCCATTTTGATAAATTAAGGTTGTAGTTTAAGCGCTTACAGGACAGGCCTGTACTATTGTGATGTTTATAACTTTATTAAACATATGCCAAAGACAACGTTGTTCGTTCATCTTAAACAAGTCTGTAGAGACACCTGGCCCTAAATCCTTCCAAATAAGACTCGTTTTAGATATATCAACTTAACTAAACAGGAAATTTCTAATAACTGCGTTAGATTACTTCGCTTCCCATTTGAAATGCGGACGTTTCTCTGAGCAACAAAAACTTTCAGCCACCTCACCTTTTTCTATTCATTCTACAGAATATTTCGAACGCGCAAATGACTTCGGAGCCGAATAATCTGATCGAAGTATCGATTCGGTGGTGCATGCTGAATATAAACCCAACTTAGGTATTTGTCGTCCACCGGTGTTACGTAAAATGTATTGATGTCATAATCGGCCCACAAAGCCATGGCCTACTTGGTGGAAATTTCAGACAAATTTCTATTCTACGCCGCTAAATACATATTACGCCGATGTATCGAATAATCAAGCAATTTTGCAACATCGAGCTGCGTCCTCATCGATACAGTTATTTCGTTGCTGAACGAGTTCTCTGTTAGAGACCCATAAAACGTTTGCCAAAGGTGTGATTGTCTTCAAGGTACCCTACAAGAATTTCCACTATCAAACATCCCAGAATCGGTATCCATTTAATGACTGTGCAAAAACACCGGTGACATAAAGAGGCCCTCGAAGATAGGTCAAGGTTTTAACTTCACGTACGGGTTTTGGATTACGTTATACGCACAAGTAAACACCATTATCAATTACATCATTTAGAACACAACAAAATATTTTGACGGGTCTGTTATCGTTGTTTCAGGGTGAAGCATTGGTTTCCGTGAAGTTAGGATGATTCCGAAGTGGAACACTTTCATGAATGGGAAAAACGATAATTGTGAGAAGCGTATGATTGAATTGTTATTACCTAGATCAATAAGAAGAAATTTCTGATAAGTGGACGTTTCTCTGAGCAACGAAAACTTTCAGCCTCCTCACCTTTTTCTATTCATTCTACAGAATATTTCGGACGCGCAAATGACTTCGGAGCCGAATAATCTGATCGAAGTATCGATTCGGTGGTGCATGCTGAATATAAACCCAACTTAGGTATTTGTCGTCCACCTGTGTTACGTAAAATGTATTGATGTCATAATCGGCCCACAAAGCCATGGCCTACTTGGTGGAAATTTCAGACAAATTTCTATTCTACGCCGCTAAATACATATTACGCCGATGTATCGAATAATCAAGCAATTTTGCAACATCGAGCTGCGTCCTCATCGATACAGTTATTTCGTTGCTGAACGAGTTCTCTGTTAGAGACCCATAAAACGTTTGCCAAAGGTGTGATTGTCTTCAAGGTACCCTACAAGAATTTCCACTATCAAACATCCCAGAATCGGTATCCATTTAATGACTGTGCAAAAACACCGGTGACATAAAGAGGCCCTCGAAGATAGGTCAAGGTTTTAACTTCACGTACGGGTTTTGGATTACGTTATACGCACAAGTAAACACCATTATCAATTACATCATTTAGAACACAACAAAATATTTTGACGGGTCTGTTATCGTTGTTTCAGGGTGAAGCATTGGTTTCCGTGAAGTTAGGATGATTCCGAAGTGGAACACTTTCATGAATGGGAAAAACGATAATTGTGAGAAGCGTATGATTGAATTGTTATTACCTAGATCAATAAGAAGAAATTTCTGATAACCTTGAACCTGGGAATTATACTCGCGTCTTTCCTCAAATGGTGGCCGTTCAAAACAGAGGCGTAGACAGAAAGTATGATGGAACGTATTCATGGAATTTACTTGGAATATTCCCTATCACGGAGATGTGCGTCCAGTTTGTCTCAGTTGGCCGAGGACTTCCCATATTATGTTTTCAAAGAAATTCCGTGATTTCCGCGTGAATGGTACTCTTATGTTGCTTTTTGTAATATCATATCGGGTTGATAATGATAAAGTTACTACTATATAAGGCAGACTTCAGTTACGAATGTCATATCTGCACCAAGCGAATTCAGGAGTAGTGCCCACGTGCGTTTGTAATAACGTGTAACATTTGTTATTGTTAATAGTATTTTATTTAATTTCTGTGCGTGCCAAATTCAAAATGAAGACTGCCGTTGTTAGTTTTCTGTTGATATGGTTGCTTTTTCCGGCGATTTCGTGCTGTTCTCATGTGCTGTTTAATTTTGAGAATTCTGACGCGAATGTTGATCTGAACACAGTAGGTTGAATTACATATTTTGTATTAATTGATGCATCTCAATTTTGTAATAGAGTTCTTGATTTTGAAGTTCGTTTTTAAGGGTGATGTCTATAAAATAGAGTGTTAGAAATATTCGTTGCTTCCAGTCGTACACCGCGACTCACCATCTTAATTTTTACTACGAATTGTACTTTAATGTAATGACTTTGTAACACATTTCTTCAGAATTGTTTACTTTCATATAGAGAAAAAGCTGTATTTTGTCGAATATCTTAGAGAAAATGAACATTTGTGACAACTATGAAATTTAGCAACTGTCATATTCGTACAGCTACAAAATTATATGACGTATCGTTAATGCTTTCGATTTTGTAATGTACAATAAACAATTCTAATTTGTGCTGAATAAGAAAATGTAAATCATTTTGATTAATGGTTATGGATTTTGTAAAAAGTCAGGTTTTAACAAGAATTGTACATTACTAACTAAGTTCAAAGATGTTTCGCGGATTTATCATAATAGTTATTCAGTTTTTTTTTACTCTAAATCATTCTGCCCACCATCGTGAACAGAATGATACAAATTATTAGTGTTAGAAAGGCTCAAATACTATTAAATTACTAACAAAGTGAAAAACGACAATGTATTGCATTTTTATATCGAAAACAAGACATGCGTCAACGCGATGACGACAATACATAGTTGTCGTTCAATTCTGATGAACTTGTTTGCGCGTACATTTTGTGGTTTTATCGAAAGTTATTACAAATTATTGGACTTGCGTTACGTCCAAAATATGATCTGTTATCACTTTCTCATTAAGAGAAATGTTTTCTCCATTTTCTCCATTGCTATTATTATGTTTTCTCCAAGTTATCGTTTGATATAAATTGAAATGTATTAGCAATGATGCGTTTCGGTTATCTTTTTCGCTTTGGTCGCTTAAACATATCTGCAGACATAAAATAATTTCAAGAAATATAACAATGTTATTATTTAAAACTTGTAATATAACAGCAATAATTTGACAGAATAATTGGTACATTTAAATAACAATAGAATTAGGAATGGGATGTTGAGATTAATGGTTAATAATTAAGTGTCTCTTTTACAGATGCAACTGATAAGGAAGGAGGGCTACCCCGTGGAAGCTCACGTTACGGAAACAAAAGATGGCTACATATTGACAATGCATCGAATCCCGGGAAAGCCTGGAGCACCAGCAATATTTTTACAACACGGTCTTCTAGGCAGTTCAGCCGACTGGATTATACTTGGAAAGGACAAAGCTCTTGGTACGGAAATATGCAAATTAAAAAACCAAAAAGTTGAATTAACGTCAATCGCGTCACTCGAGGATTATCAAAAAACATTTGCATTTACATGATAACATTTAGTGATTCAACAACGAAGTAAAATTAACGAAGTTGAACAAACTTTTTCGTTTATTGCGCATACCAGTTTCTTTAGTTAGAATTTTTGTTCCGTGTATAGGTACAAATATTTCTGCGTTTCGGAAGAAACGATGCTAAGCTCAAGAATTATTTCAAAGATTGGAGATTCAAGAAGAAATTGTTTTATTACATGTAGAATCAATAAGTTGTATGGCATGTGGCTGTTCAATTAAAATCATGTATAGAAGTTCTGTTTTATTACACAGTGCTCCTGTTTTCGTTTTTTGGGATCAGGTTTATAAACTTGAATTAGCAAATTTCCCAATTTTCAAGCTTCTAATGTTGACAGTGGAAGTAGAAATTCTAAAGAGCAACAAAAATTTAAGATATTCGTTAATCAAAACACTGACCACAACATAGTGCAATATATCTCTAAAAACTTTTGCGACTGTAAAAAAAACAAAATTGGAGTATTGTAATTTAACGACGATACTGCAAGAGCATACAAACAACGTTCATTCCTATTCTTCTTAATCAACTATACGCACGTTTCCGGAAAAAATATTACAACATGTTTTCTTGAACATTTAGGATAACAAATATTTTGCCACTTTCTTATTGCATCACTTATTTTCTTTATTATAAAAAAATCTGTTTTGATATTAAGACAATGATGTTATGTTTCTACATTAGATTATCTTCTGAATATAGTTAATGAAACTGATTCTTGACGTATTTATTTATGAGATTCAGTTATTGAGTTATTCAACATATTATCAATAACAATGTTCTTTGAATCACATAAAAAATGTGATCCAATTAATAAATATTTATTGAAAATTTTTTGTGTTTATAATTTTAGCTTACCTGCTAGCTGACCGTGGCTATGATGTATGGCTTGGCAATTTCCGAGGGAACGTTTATTCAAGGGCTCATGTTTCTATACCCACCTCGAACGGATCATTTTGGGACTTTAGGTATATCAATAATTATTTTTATTACGATATTTCACGTACAAATTATTGATCTTTTAACAAATATTTGCAATTTCTCATGATTTACTACTAGTTCAATTTTTATTTATTTTATTACAGAATATACGAAACGTATTTAAGATGAGTGATTTGACTCGGTAGAATTTTTTGCTAAATATTCGCGATACGATGATTTACACGCGTAGGTGATATTCGAGTTGACGATGTAACCCGTGGGTTTACGCGACGACATGACGTGTGACGGTATAACGCGTGGAAATATGTTGCGTGCCGATACAAAGTGTGCTCAAGCAACGCGTGACGGTATAACACGTGACGATACGTGTGACGGTATAACGTGTAAAGCTATAACAACAAAATACCGTACGACGACGTAATTTGTGGTTGTACATATCAAACGTGACTACATATCGCGCGACTGAACGACATGTAACGATATAACGAGGGGCTATATAACAAAGAACAGCAAGATAACGACTCAGGCTGTATACAGATACTCTCAGTTCAAGTAAAGTAGCGAAATTTTGCGGTGTTCGATTCAGTAATGAAATTATAGAATTAATAATTAATTAACCAATAACGAGATTATCTGTTCACTGTTTGACGATCAAATGTCTGTTTAGCTGGCACGAGTCGGGCGTCTACGACCTGCCTGCGATGATCTCGTATGTAGTCAACCTGACGCAAAAGCCTTTGAAGGCGTATATCGGCTACTCGATGGGTACAACGACTTTCTACGTAATGTCTACTCAACTACCAGAAACAGCAAAATATTTTGAAGAGGTGTACAGTTTAGCCCCGGTAGCGTACATGCAACATGTGAAGACCGCCTTACGCTACATGGCCCCCATCGTAACTGAATCTGTGGTAAAGTAATCGTAATCTTCTTCAATAACAATTTCTTTCTCAAACTTGTACTTAGCATTCACCTTATTTTTGCGATTCTAATTTTTTAATTTAAACTCGTAGGTGGCGAATTATCTGTTGGGGGAAGGAGAATTTCTGCCTTCGTATTCGCTCTTGAAGAGCATAACACGACGTTGGTGCACTCGCAATTTTCTCAAGAAAAGAATCTGTGCTGATACGATATTCTTTGCCACCGGTTTCGACAGAGCGCAATTCAATTATGTAAGTACACAAAGAGTCTTGTACGCGTGGATGAGACCTGTAATTTAATATATTACTGATTTCATTTGGTTAATTGATTATTTATGTAAATACTCAACTCTTTACAGACGCTGCTACCTACAATTCTGAAGCATACACCAGCTGGTACGTCGTACAAGACTGTGCGTCATTATGCTCAAGAAATTATGTCAGGATACTTTAGACAATACGATTACGGTGCGCAGAAAAATCTGGAGGTTTATAACTGCGACGTGGCACCTATATATAATTTGTCGAAGATCGAAACACCAGTTACTCTGATTTATGGCGAGAACGATTGGTTGGCCACTCCTAGTGTAAGCATTTAATCTACACAACTTTTCACATAATTCTAATTCAGCGGAACAAAAATGTCTAAACTTCTTCTACTTTACTTTTCAGGATGTGGAGAGGCTACACAAAGAATTACCGAACTCAACCATTTACAAAGTGCCATTTAGCAGTTTCAATCACATAGACTTCTTGTGGGCCGTTGATGCTCGTGAATTAGTATACGATAAAATACTCGCACAATTGGAGCAGTCCGTGCGATAATAAACATTTAAGTTTAGGAACAAATTGACGTGCATCTGCAATTTCGATATGTATTTTGCAACCTGCGATAGGACAAATTATCAATAATTATATAAAGTAAATAACAGTACAACAGTTGTTTGCTATAATAATATTATAGTAAACAACAGTAATTAAGCGATTTTAGGATGTAAGAAATATTGTAGTAAGATATATTTGTGATATATATAATTTATTAAAGAAAAAATTTATTAAAGCTTTGTCTAAATGAGTTGCAACTTTGCAGAGGCACCTAGTCCTGACTCCTAAGCAACACTTGTTCTGCATCAAAATTAACCTAACAACAAACTTTTAACTGCGTTAAATTACTTCGCTACCCATTTCAAACGTGGATGTTTCTCTGAGCAACGAAAACTTTCAGCCTCCTCACCTTTTTCTATTCATTCTACAGAATATTTCGGACGCGCAAATGACTTCGGAGCCGAACAATCTGATCGACGTATCGATTCGGTGGTGCATGCTGAATATAAACCCAACTTAGGTATTTGTCGTCCACCTGTGTTACGTAAAATGTATTGATGTCATAATCGGCCCACAAAGCCATGGCCTACTTGGTGGAAATTTCAGATAAATTTCTATTCTACGCCGCTAAATACATATTACGCCGATGTATCGAATAATCAAGCAATTTTGCAACATCGAGCTGCGTCCTCACCGATACAGTTATTTCGTTGCTGAACGAGTTCTCTGTTAGAGACCCATAAAACGTTTGCCAAAGGTGTGATTGTCTTCAAGGTATTCCACAAGAATTTCCACTATCAAACATCCCAGAATCGGTATCGATTTAATGACTGTGCAAAAACACCGGTGACATACAGAGGCCCTCAAAGATAGGTCAAGGTTTTAACTTCACGTACGGGTTTTGTATTACGTTATACGCACAAGTAAACAACATTAACAGTTACATCATTTAGGATACAACAAAATATTTTGACGGGTCTATTATCGATGTTTCAGGGTGAAGCATTGGTTTCCGTGAAGTTAGGATGATTGCGAAGTAAAACACTTGCGTGAATGGGAAGAACGATAATTGTGAGAAGCGTATGAATTGTTATTACGTAGATCAATAAGAAGAAATTTCTGATAACCTTGGACCTGTGAATTGTGCTTGCGTCTTTCCTCAAATGGTGGTCGTTCAAAACAGAGGCGTAGGCAGAAAGTATGACGGAACGTTTCCATGGAATTTACTTAGAATATTCCCTATGACAGTGATGTGGGTTCAGCTTCTCTCAGTTGGCTGAGGACTACCCATACTGTGTTTACAAGGAAAATCCGTGGTTTCCGCGTGAATGGTACTCTTATGTTGCTTTTTGTAATATCATATCGGGTTGATAATGATAAAATTACTACTATATAAGGCAGACTTCAGTTACGAATGTCAAATCTGCACCAAGCGAATTCAGTAGCAGTGCCCACGTGCGTTACTAATAACGTACAACATTTGTCATTGTTCATAGTATTTTATTTAATTTCTGTGCATACCAGATTCAAAATGAAGACTGCCGTTGTTAGTTTTCTGTTGGTGTGCCTGCTTTTTCCGGCGATTTCGTCCTGTTCTCATGCGCTGTTTAATTTTGGGAAGTCTGACGCGAATGTTGATCTGAACACAGTAGGTTGAATTACATATTTTGTATTAATTGATGCATCTCAATTTTGTAATAGAGTTCTTGATTTTGAAGTTCGTTTTTAAGGGTGATGTCTATAAAATAGAGTGTTAGAAATATTCGTTGCTTCCAGTCGTACACCGCGACTCACCATCTTAATTTTTACTACGAATTGTACTTTAATGTAATGACTTTGTAACACATTTCTTCAGAATTGTTTACTTTCATATAGAGAAGAAGCTGTATTTTGTCGAATATCTTAGAGAAAATTAACATTTGTGACAACTATGAAATTTAGCAACTGTAATATTCGTACAGCTACAAAATTATATGACGTATCGCTAATGCTTTCGATTTTGTAATTTACAATAAACAATTCTAATTTGTGCTGAATAAGAAAATGTAAATCATTTTGATTAATGGTTATGGATTTTGTAAAAAGTCAGGTTTTAACAAGAATTGTACATTACTAACTAAGTTCAAAGATGTTTCGCGGATTTATCATAATAGTTATTCAGTTCTTTTTACTCTAAATTATTCTGCCCACTATCGTGAACAGTATGATACAAATTATTAGTGTTAGAAAGACTCAAATACTATTAAATTACTAACAAAGTGAAAAACGACAATGTACTGCATTTTTGTATCGAAAACAAGACATGCGTCAACGCGATGACGACAATAGTTCTCAATTCTGATGAACTTGTTTGCGCGTAGATTTTGTGGTTTTATCGAAAGTTATCACAAATTATTTGACTTGCGTTACGTAGGAAATATGATCTGTTATCACTTTCTCATTAAGAGAATTGTTTTCTCCATTGCTATTATTATGTTTTCTCCAAGTTATCGTTTGATATAAATTGAAATGTATTAGCAATGATGCGTTTCGGTTATCTTTTTCGCTTTGGTCGCTTAAACATATCTGCAGACATAAAATAATTTCAAGAAATATAACAATGTTATTATTTAAAATTTTTAATATAACAGTAATAATTTGACAGAATAATTGGTACATTTAAATAACAATAGAATTAGGAATGGGATGTTGAGATTAATGGTTAACAATTAAGTGTCTCTTTTACAGATGCAACTGATAAGGAAGGAGGGCTACCCTGTGGAAGCTCACGTTACGGAAACAAAAGATGGCTACATATTAACAATGCACCGAATTCGGGGAAAGCCTGGAGCACCAGCGATATTTTTACAACACGGTCTTCTAGGCAGCTCAGCCGACTGGGTTATACTTGGAAAGGACAAAGCTATCGGTACGAGAATACGCAAATTAAAAAATCAATTAGTTGAATTAACGTCAATCGCGTCACTTGAGGTTTATCAAAAAACATTTGCATTTACCCGATAACATTCATTGATTCAACAACGAAGTAAATTAACGAAGTTGAACAAACTTTTTTGTTTATTGCACATACCAGTTTCTTCAGTTAGAATTTTTGTTCCGTGTATAGGTACAAATATTTCTGCGTTTCGGAAGAGATTCAAGAGGAAATTGTTTTATTACATGTAGAATTAATAAGTTGTATGGCATGTGGCTGTTCAATTAAAATCATGTATAACACGTCACTCAATAAGTCTCCGGTTTAACTATGAAAAACCAAATATATTGATGAAAGTTTTATTTCAGAAAAGTCAAAAATAACAAAATTTGACTCTTATATTAGGATTGTTCCACCTAACACGTCACTCAATAAGTCTCTGGTCTAACTAAGAAAAACAAATTTTTTTTTAGAAATTCCACTTTAATCATCAATATACATTCCTTCCAGTGTGATTCATTGTTTCCAACGCTCCTCTAACTTTTCAATTCCGTTTATATTAAACGATTTGTCTTTGCCCCCAAAATAAGCTTCAGTTTCCGCAATCACTTCTTCATTTGAGCCAAATTTCTTTTCCTGGAGCATTTTTTCCATATCTGCAAAGTGCCAGTAGTCGCTGGGGTCCAAATCTGGGGA